CTGTATCTTTGTTTGGTTGATTTCTTTTTTTTACAATTGAAATTATTTCTTTTGATTGGTTTTTGATTGAAACTGCCTTTTTGTCTGATTGAATAATAACACAAAATTGCCTCCATACAACGTTACAATCTAGTATTCAGTAATATTCAGCCTCAGTCAAAATCCAACACAGTTACAGTCAACACAGGGGAGACGATGTCATCATCTTCAATATTTTAACAGCAGCATGAGACGTCTGCTGTCAAACAAATCCACTCATCAAATATTCCTCTGACCTTTGGGAGTGTGTGGAACCTGACCCTCTGCCGTGCACGCAGTGAGAGCACAATAACTCCCCGAGCTGTTGCTGCCTGATAAAATCGAAGCTGTGCRCTTTCCACTGTGACRTCTGCAGAGGGAGAAATGACTCTGGGACAAATTTATTCTGTGCAATCTCATTTCTGTAGGAGAAAGTGACWGTGCTGCTTTGTAAACACTGATTAATGAGAATAATTCCTGCTGCTTCTCCACAGAGCCACACACCTCTGAGCTCCTACAGTGCACACACTCCAACACTTATAGACTTCATGCATACATTAATACCCAAACATAAGGGCGAGGGAATGTCTGACATCATGGCTTTAATTATTTTCTACCTGCAGGTGCTCAGAAAGCACTGAGAATGTCTTTAAGATGCCATGAGCCAAAATGCGTCTACATCAGGCAGCACATTTGTCAAACACAAATGCATGTAAGYATTTGTTTTTATACATTTCTCTGTTCAAATGTTTGTATTCTCAGTCACAGCAGCTGCACACATTTGTTTTTTTTTTTTTGGGTTTTTTTTTTTTTGAGGACTACATCACAGTTTTTAGCGTTTCTCAGCAGCCTACCTGCTGAGTGCGTGCAGCACCGACCTGTTTTTGTGTTTCCTCCCTTGTAGCTGATCTTGTTGATGGCTTCCAGCAGGCGCTCCTTGTTGCTGTACGAGTTCAGCTTGAACTCGGTCCGGGCGTCGTCACTGAACTGGGCAATGGCCACCTGTCAATCCAGGATTGTGCTTTTAGGATTTATAAAAAAACTAATTTGCAAATCATGGTAAACTGTTTTAGCTTAAACCGGTGGTATTTTATGGATTTCCCAGACACACATTCCAACTCTCTGCCACAATCAATGTTACCTTCATTTGTTGTGAAAATGCTGTAAATATCAAAAATAAGTTGGAAGATCTAAACTCCTTGAAATTGGCCTCTGTCTCTTTAAGAACCTCCTATCGTTTCCAACACTTCCACTTCAGCACGCCTTCACAACAAGACTTCAGAGGAGAGGGTGCTCTGTGGGGGGCGGGAGCTCGGCTGCAGATTGAGCTCCAAGGAGGAGCTATGTACAAATAGGTGGAGCTTTGTACCAGCAAGCGTTTAGGCAGAACCACATGTCTACCACAGGAGATTCAAGTTCTCCAACAAGCATGAATGAGTCAAAGCAACACTCTGGGGATGGTTCAATAAAGTTGATTTTGAATAATACATTTAAATCCAAGTATTTTAGAAACAAACATTTAAAATACATGTTATGGCCCTAAATTTGATAAACTAATGTTTTAATTAGTAGTATACTTCATAATTACTGACTCTTTAATTAAGACTCAATAAACAAACTGTAGCAGATTTATGGAACTGCCCCCTTAAGCCCGACGGGCCCTGTACAGGGCCAACAGATGGTGTCATTCATTGTTGTTTGCTAAAGTAGGTGTAAAACTTATTTTTCCCAAATTTTTTCTACGTCCATCACAAAAGGTGTCTTTAATGTTTTTAAAATGAGTCGCCAAATTATTTTTGGATGACTATTTATGATTTTAGAGCTATATAAACATTTGTAAGTCACTTGAAACGTCGCGGACCATTTCAGTATCAGGAAGTTCCTCCGCATCTGTTATTGTGCAAGTTTTGGTTCCGTGCCCCTCCCTTTGGTATCTTTGAAAAGATAAAGCTCTCACGAATTCAGGGATATATCTTGACACTGTGTTACTCTTTGGTGACTTGAAGTTTGTGCGTAACAGAGAGTATAAATAACAGCCCTCATGCGTAAAACGTTGAGGCGGAGTTAGGTTCCATTCAGTGATTTCATGGTGTGCACAATGGTAGATTTTGATAATGCACAGTGTAAATGTAAAAAAAGGAAAGGTTATGTCATATGCAGAATGAGGCCTACAATAGAAATCAACACTTTTATTAGACCAGATTCTTTTATATAAAGTAAAAAAAAAACATTTGGCACAGTTTTGGGTACATTTGGTAAATTGTGCCAAAATGCCATTTCCGCCTGACACACTGCTCACTAAAACCTTTGTGAAATGAATATACTTCAACTTATTCGGTCCTACTTTGCTACAATTTTTCTCAAGATGTAGATGTATAAAATCTAATGGCATTGCTGGGTTTTCACAAGAAGTTTCTATTGCACTGTTGATTTAAAAAAATTTAGGCGAGGCTAAAAAAATCACAAATTTTCATTTAATCACAAATAACTCAGGCACAGTAAGAATTACAATAGTGGTTTCACTTAAGAAATTATCTTTAAGGTCTTACCTTTACAGAGGTACCAAGAGTTAGCATTTACACCTTGTAACTGTAGAGCTATTCTTGATTTATTTTGCTGTGTATTTTCAGACGGAAATTACCTCTAAAACCCCTTAGGACTTACATCAAATGTCAAAACTTTTGAAGATCCAGCAACAAGGTAAGAACTATGTGAATCAACAAGATTAAACACCTGAGAACAATCTTCTGAGGTGAATTTTTTGTTGTTTTTGTAAGGACATTGTCCCATTCAGTTACATGAAGGAAGTGGAACTTCAGCCTGTTAGAACACCGTACCTGCTCCAGCTGTGGAGAGGCTAAAATGCCCTCATTAGAGCTCCTTTATTGCTCCATTCCTCCTGCCGCTACAGTACATGACAAGCTGACACTTCACTAAACATTAAGGAAACAACAGCGTGCCTCAGGCAAAGTGCAGTTTGTAGCATATTTCTAAAAAAACAACAACAATAAAATAAAAGGTAAAAAGGTTTTTGGACTTTTTTCCCGTTCAGTTCTTKTGGCTTTTCTGTACAGCGCCTGCCTGTCAATAAACTGTCACTCAAAAAGAAGAGTGGTGGAGCTTTTAGACACCAGGGCCCAGTCCACACTCAAACAGGAACAAACTTTTTTTTTTTGCATTTTAAAGCACATGAAATAATAAATACAGAATATAGTATGTGCATGTTGAAGACACAAAMGCTTTGTAGTAAACTGTTTTAACAATATTAATTAAAAACAAACTACAGGCTCTCTGGTGCCGAAGCTACACAAGAGTTTTGACACATTAAATTGGTTTTACGTAGCTTTTTTTATAGAAAAAATACAAAGATGTGGAAGACAGTCCCTTACTAAATTACCTGTGTGCCATCTGGGCCGATCCGATCCAGAGCTCCGACGGTGCTGTACAGGAACCGGATGATCTTCAGGAAGTTCTCGTCACCGATGCTCCAGGAGCCGTCGACCAGGAAGACCAGGTCTGCTTTGGCTGCCTTACAAACTGGTCAGAGAAAAAAAACAAACAAAGAAACTAAATTTAAAGTGAGTTCATATTTTGCWCACATGCAGCTTCATAATCCCCATAAATATGTACTTTTTCATAAACAGGTCAAATCTCTTGGTAAAACAAGCAACTAAATGGAGTTTAATATTAATCCAAGGGGACCTAAARTATCATGTCTGACTCTGGAAGATAAAATAACTTAATGAGTTTGGATTGACTTTTGAATGGATTTTAAATGTGCTGTATCAATAATCAAAACCCAGAATCTTAAAGTTTATAACATAGATTTTAAAGCAGGTTGAATCAGACTGATTTGTTGCTCCGTTGCATTAGATAATACAMGTCTTCATGGTTTTAACGATCTTATTTCTCATCCTAATGAGACTAAATTGTCTCCTCAGATATTCCAGTTCAACCTCTGGATGTCTGAGTTCTGTGTGAATGTGTTCAATAAGCAACAGCGTGAACGAAACACAACAAATTGTTTCCTTTATAATTAATAAATCCCTGCTCCTTCCCGCCACAGCTGCTTGTTAACTGATTGAATCACCTGATAAGTCGTGCAGCTGCCAGTGTTTGTGTTCTCTCTGTTAGAATCCGCTCCAGTCCATGCATTTTAAAYGGGAACTTATTAAGCTTTAGCTTATTCAGGTCAGGTCCGGTTGCGCCTGGATTCCCTTCGGACAGAATCTCTCTTTTGTGAAAATTAATCAAAGCACCTCAGGTTCAGGAAGGTTTTCTGTGGGTTTGTTCAGCATTCAGGGAGAACCCTGTCGTAATTTAAGAGGGTCAACAATGATTCTCCTTCCTAAATTTGCTCTCTTCATTTGGGAATGTTGTATAGACTGAATAATGAACAAAAAATATAAAAGATCTGCATAAGTATACAGTATATTGACATGTTGAGGTCTGTAAGACTTCATTCCATGAACTCTTCAGGTTTCTTCTCATCTAGAAATATTGGTTTGAATCAAATCCTGTCAAATATACGGAAAAGGAAATATATGTTTTTTTCTCTCCTCAGCTCTTGCTTTAATCCCAGAATTCTGACTTTTTCTCAAAATTTTGAGGTAAAAGTCAGAATTCTGACTTTTTCTCAGGATTCTGTGAAAAAAGTAGGAACTTTTTAAAATTTATTTATTTATTTTGCTCTGAGGCCTTAATTCTATGATGGAATATTAGAGCCGTTTTGCAGATTTAAAAAAAAGGGAGCAGCACATCTCCGCCAAATTATGGTTTTCTACATAAAGAGAGTTTCCTGTATTTTTCTTGAAAATTGTTGAAATTAACCTCCGAACTTCAGAATTTTTTCTTGCAAATTTACGATTTTTGAGCTCAAGGAATTTCCTCGTCTTTTCTTGAAATTTTTTTTTAGTTTTTTGGCAGATTTGCTCCCTTTTTTTCCATTTGCTAAGTGACATTAATACACCGCCGTACTGTTCTTCTGTATAAAATGAATTAAATGTTTTTGCTTTATGATTTGATTTAACACGTGCGTATTATTAAAACAAATGCTATCCAAACCCAGAAGGCTTTTCAATAAACTTCACTAAAAACACACCGTAAAGTTAAATATTTATAGAGGTATTTTTTATTTTCTCAATTCTTCCTACCTTGTCTTAACCATTCATGCTGCATATAAGTAGCTTGAAGGAACGTATGGTGTTATGAGCAGTAACATTTCTTTAAATCAATAAACTGGTAGCTTTGTCCTCATTAAAAAATGTATTTACATTTTGAAAAAGAATATGTCAGTTATTTTTAAAGTTTATTGTATTTTATATTATATATATTATAACTTATCACAAACTGCGTGACCTCTGATCCTCGGGTTATTTATCCAGACATTATTAAGAGTTCTTCRTTTTTGATTTGTGGATGTTTTCAGGCAGTTGCACCTCGACTGTAAAACTGTGGATAAACATTGCACTGTTTGTGTTCATTAATTCAATATCAACACTCCTATTCATTAATTAGAAAAATATTTCATTAGACTTGACTCTATAGCAGCGCATTTATTTAGTTTTATGTATTTTCCAAAGTCTGTTTATCATGCTAACATTTTAATCCGACTCTACATGTTTTATGTACACTCAGTTATTTACAGAGAAAACTGAAGGTCCAGTGACAGCACACATATAAATAGTTAATCTGAAATCATCTGTTCTGCATTTTGTGTTTGAGAATAAAATGCTTACTCAGTCTGAACTATGTATTTTATGATTACTGTTTTCCCAGTGGTGGGCAGCGCTAATCCAAAAATTAGCTCCGCAATTTCTAAAGCGCTTATGAAAATATCTGGGTGCACAACTTCAAAAGCGCTTATGCCATAGAAAATCTAGCAGAAGCTAATTTTAAAGCGCAAGTTCAGTTTGACACTTACTAGCTGACAAATCATGTACAATATATGCACAACACTGCCAACTAGTGGTGCGTGAACTCTTTTGCAACTTATTCCTACAACCGCTGATTGCTGGGGATGTGATTCCTAAAACAGACCTTTGGCTCCTGGTGTAAAAATTAAAAAGTTGTTGAGGATTGCTAGTTCGGCTGCTTCTTTTTCTTTCTTTTTTTTGTAGATTTTTCATTAAAGAAGCATCAATAAAGTAATTTTAAAACTGTTTATTGGGAAACTGAAGCAATGCCTTCTGGGTACATGACGGATTTGATTTGTGATGGGAAACGAAAGCACGGAGTACAGGAAAATATCTTACCCTCAAAATAAGAGCTTGGATTTTAAAGTTTTCCATGTATTTGCTCCAGTTGACCACTAGATGTCAGTCTTCACCAGCATAACATCATTAAATGATTTCTGCGTCTCTAACCCCGTTGCTTCGACCAATTACATAAAGTATTGAGCTCCAGTGTTTAAACTTTATTTTTTTAAAAAGGAGCTCTGATTATAAAGTAAAAAAAAAATCAATACATGCAAAATTTTAGTATGGATTACAAACGTTAACTGTTTTTTGCTATTGCCTTACTGCTATGTAAGCAGACACGAAGCATTGTGGGAAATCAGAACCCTGACCCAAAGCAACAGTCAGGATGTATACCTTTCCAATAAGTGTGTTTATCTGGGAGGGGTGCTGTTGGATAGATCACGTGTTGTGATTCATTGACAGTCATACCTTCCGCCGTTCAAGATAATGATGACTGGTAGATAATTAGTTATTAGCGGTACTGCATTTTAATTTTAAAAAGCGCAAATCCACTTATGAATTATAAAAAATTAGTAAGACCGCTAAAGCGCAAATGAAATATTTAGGTCCGCAATTAGCAGATTTGTGCTTTAGCGGGCTGGGGCCCAACACTGGTTGATCCTATATTGAAAACATTCTCTAAGATTAAACTATCCAATCTGTAGGAACAAAACTACTTTTTAAACTTTAACCAGAGGCTTGAAACAGAATTTATTCCCTGAAAACTGGAGCCAGAAACTGTAAAAACTCGAGCATTGTCATAAAACAAGCCTCTGCACAGAACCGAGTCAAAACAGAACCCACGTCATCAATAAATCAACAGCTCATAAGGAGGATGCAGAGATACAGTGTCCTGACCTTCCTTGGCAGCGGGGATGGTGGGCAGCGGCGTGGTGGTGGGGGGTTTGACGGGCGCTGGGGTCGGGGCCGGTACTGCGTGGAGAGAAAAGAGACACGCATGATGACAGGAAAACCTGCAATTCTGACCGCATTCATCATAAAATGAGCCGACAAATAAAATGCCCCAATCAAATAAATAAATAAATAAATAAATAAATAAATAAATA